TTAATACTAGAAAGTAATTTAAAATATTTAATCTATATTAATCCTATTTTCAGTAAGAAAGTAAGAATTTTTATTTAATATAATAAAATAACTCTCTTCTCCAGAAAACATAAAATCACTTTTATGGGAGCATTTTACAGTTTATAAAGAAATGACTGTAGGCTGTTATAAAAAAAAACCTTACATATTTTACAAAAGACACCTAGTAAGATCGGTAAAGAAATAACAGGTGTTGAAACTTTGTCTGATCACCACCAATTGTTGGGGGAAAGCTTATTAAATTTCCTTTTTCAACAGATACCAGGTTCTCAAATATTTTAGGACCTGGACTGTTAAAGAGATTCCTTCGATATATGTAAGCAGACTTCACGGCGATGATTCTTTACGTGTTTGATTTGATCGTTTTGTACTTTGAGAAAAATAAAGCGTAATCAATCGATGCTACACATTTAATAACTAGAGAATATTTACAAAATATTAATTACTATTTAACTGGGAATAAGCCACAATTAAGGTTAAAATACGTTTATTGACGTTTCAATTTCCACTTCCGAAATCGTTCTCAAAATACAAACAGTAAATTATATTAAATACAGAATATTTACATACTGTTTTTGCTTTTGCATCTATGAATCGGCTCGAAGCTTTCGAAATTTGTTGTTATAGGCGCATCTTACGTATATCATGGGTTAACAGAGTTACTAATGTGGAGGTCTTGCGTAGAATGGGGAGATAATGTGAAATTCTCATGACCGTCAAAACTAAAAATTTGGAATATCTAGGACATATAATGAGAAATCAAAAACGTTACGGCCTTCTCCAGCTGATTCTCCAAGGGAAGGTAAATGGTAAAAGAGGACCGAGAAGAAGACGCATTTCCTGGCTTCAAAATTTACGAAAGCGGTATAACACGACTACCACTGAACTGTTCCGCGCTGCAGTAAATAAAGTAAAGATAGCCATGATGATAGCCAACATCCGGAAAGGATAGGCACTTTAAGAAGAAGATTTACATACTGTTTTTGAGGCGCGCGAATATTGGCGACGTGCAAGTACTTGAAGGGGATACGAGAAACGATCGTGCGCGAGTAATGGAGAAATTTTGCATTTTTTACTGCACATTTCATAGATTTCATAAATCCATATTGTCAATTGTCATATTTCATATTAGTTTTGTTTATTTACACCTTCTGTCACTGAAGAAAATGGAATTTAGGAAATGCTGTCTTATAAATTGTAAAAATACAACAAAAATTGTCAATTTAAGTTTTATTCGTTTCCAACTTCGAAGCACAAAGCTACTACAAAGAGAAAAGTGGATTTATATCATAAAAAGTGGATATTATTTATATCATAAAGTAACATAACCTAAATCAGAGAACATGTTCGTAGTTCTCTGCCTAAATTATGCATTATTCTTGCGCCCGATTTTAAAGTCAGTTTGAAATAAATAATAAATAAAAGTTCACTTTTAAGTGTAAATTTTAGTTTCATAATACTCACTTCATTTTAACCCAAAAATCAAGTTTAATGTTTGAATTTTATTTTTTTGAAGTTTACAAGAATGCATCAAGTTCAAGTTTTTCTGAAGATGCATTAAGATATATTCGCTGTCCAAAAGTTTACAGGGAAAGAATTAATTGTTCAAACCAATATGATGATATCATGGGCTTAACCTGCTAATTTATGCATTTATGCATTAGCATTATTTATGGTAATTTATTTTTCTTAATTCTTCCATTCTTTTTTGACATTTGCCACTACTAAAGCTTTTCTCTTTGACTCAGTGCTTGGTTGAAAAATTATTTGGTGATTTACTTTCTTCTATCCAGTTTTTATTATTGAATCCATATTAACAATAATGCTGTAATTCAATAATATATTTATTTGTATTTACGCTACATCAACGTTTACCTTTTAATAACATACCGACATAACCTCAATCTTACTTTTTCTTCTTATTCTTTTTTGGGGCCACGTCCTTGACAGTTATTCGGTTACCTCGATCTAACATGAAAGAGCAGTAAATTTTGCTGATTTACGACACCAGGTGTCGCTGTTCCGAACTTGCACTGTCCCAATAGCGAAAACTAAATGCACTTTTTCACTGCATTTTTAAGAGTCAGATAGATTGCGTTAGCGTACCCAGTACCACACACAGCCGCACGTTCGGCTAGCAACTTTACAACACATCTGCGATTTTTTGGCATAAATTTTTATCTAAAAGTATCGACAGGCCGGCGTAAGTTATAACCCAAGGCCCTTATAAGCTATTTATGACACAAATACCCTGCAGGCAATAATTACAGTCTGTCACATAATATTCAAGCCAATATTTGTGAAACCGAAAAATAAACGAAAATTAATATAACTTGTTGTTTTTCCAACATACTCGCCCCCGTTGAAGCGCTGGCTTTAACACAAACAAACAGATCATTATGGCAAGAGAGCAGGAAGACAAAATACACCACATTTATTATCTTACACTAACTTAATTTAAATCGTCATTGGGTAGAGGACACAATTTGGTAATAAAGCGCTTGAGGACTCCATCTTTAGTTTTGACCGAGGCAATTCTTACTCGCCCATTTTTTCCGGGAAATACCTCAAAGACTCTTGCTAGTACCCAATAAAGAGGAGGACTGTTGTCTTCAATCAACAAGACGAGATCGTTGGATTCTAGGTTCTTATGCGGGAGAAACCATTTAGGGTTATTTTGAAGTCTGTCCAAATAGTCGATAGACCATTTTTCCAAAACACTTGTTGGAGTTTGGACCAATGTTGCCATAAATTTAATCTGTTTTCGGAAATGTGGATCATATCTTTTTCAGCGAATGATGTGAGAGACTGTTCAATCAAGACGTGTTCAAAAGTAAGATAAGTAAAATCAGAGGGGTCATTTGAAAGGGAGTAAAGAGGCCGGGAATTGAGCACAGCTTCAACTTGAATGAGAATTATAGTGAATTCTTTGACCGTAAGCTTAAGCTTGCTCAGGAGCCTACGCATATGATGTTTTGCGCTCTTTATAGCACTTTTTCAAATAATACCATGATGAGGGGCTCGAGGAACTTTAGTTTTCCAACAAATATGGAACAAAGAAAAAAATGTTTTATTAGAACAGGAGCTTTCTTTTTGCTTTAAAAACTTATAGAGTTCAAACAGCTAGTTACGAGCACGAATAAAGTTCGTGGCGTTGTCACTGAATATTGTCTGAGGGAGGTCTCTACGGCTAACAAAACGTTGTAGAGCGAGAAGAAACGTCTCTATTGAGAGGCCGGAAACGACTTCAAACGTTCTTTTGATAGGTCTGCCATAATCTGGGTAGCGGGTTTGGCACAAAATTTGAAACAAATCATACATTGGTGAATGAGCTTTTTGACTTTTCGTAGTCCATTTAAAGGCCAATATTTGAGACGAATTTGGAACAAAGCATTTTGAGGACCTAAGCGACAAAGTCCGGCATGTTGTCTGTGAAGAATGAGATAAGCTACACGATTTTTTGAGGAGAGGACAAGAGGGTATCTTTGATTAAAGGTAACGTCTGAGTTTTCAAGGCGGCCTCCCACCCGAAGCATTTCATTCTCATCCAAAAAGGGATTTAGGGGTAAAATATACTTATTAGATAGAGTTTTACCTTTCTTAAGCTTAGAAATCGTACTCGATAAGTTGGAATACTGAAGCATCTTAATAATCTTAGGTCCTTATAAGTTCCACAAATAAGCTGAAGGAAAGTCTGCCACATAATATTCAAGCCAAAACTTGTTGTTTTATAACAAAAAGATACGTGAATTCATGGTAATCAACTATATCAGAGTATATAGAATTAAAACCAAACAACTAAAGTAATATAGCCCCGTCCGCAGACTCTAGAGGGTATAGAAAAAGCAAAAATTGAAATAATATACACTCGGAAATGCAAGAAAGACATGAAAAAGTACCAATGAATATAAATAGGAAAGTGGTGAGTGCATACTCACATACTCTCACTGAGACCAAAGCAGCTGCAGTAATACAAAATATGAAGACTGACAACTTCGAGATCAATAACAGTTTTAGACAAGGAACAGCCGTCTCAGCGCTGTTAAGCGCTATCAAGCGCTTGTTAAGCCTCATGATACTTGATTGTAATGAGACAGCATTAAAGAAGTATTTTGAAAATCTTAAGAAAGCGATGCGAGATGTATGATTGAGGATAAATGAAAATAAGACCAATTAAATGTTTACGCCAAGGAAAAACATAACAATAGAAACTTCTTTAAAAAGGTTAGGTCTTTAGGTTCTTTAAAAAATGTTCTTTAAAAAAAAGGTTCTTTAAAAAGGCTAAGGTCCACAGTTTTTCTAGTAACTGAAAGTAATGATGTAAATACAGAAATAAAGAACAGAATAAGCAAAGGTAACAGGGCATGTATGCAAATAAAAAACCTTGCTGTAGGAAGCCATGGTTAGGAAGCATCGAGAATAATTTAGGGATTATGAGAGTTCGGAATTGGAGAAGAAATGCTAATGGCAGTAGGGAATGAAATACAGTTGTTGAACAAGACAAGCCCACAGAGGGTTGTAGCGCTAGAGGATGAAGAAGAAGTGGTGAGTAAATTTTACATTATAAAAGTTCAGAAAGATGAAATTATGTTCTTTGAATAGTAATTTAGTGTTCTTCTGTTCTGTGATATTCCCTTAGAACTGCTTCTTCTTCCTATATAATATATTATATTCTTTGACTTTTTTTAATTCTACACTTTTTTAATATTTTCATTTATTTTGTTTAATCTTTTTTATGTTTCAATCTTCTAACTAAACAATACAATACTAAAAATATACTAAAACGCACAACACACACACATGAGAATTTCACCGTATTCTATTTTTGTTACAAGGTATCGATACCTCACAGACAGGCCTACAGCGGTTAAGTAGGTTCTGGCCGGTCGAGGAATCCACGTTTACGTTTCTTCACTCCGCGCACGACAGTTCCTCGAATCGAGACAAAACAACTTAAGTCTGTACCTACCCGTTGCCTGCTGCATGCAATTCACAGGTATCTCGCGGCGGTCCATTCTCCAGTCCTCGACGTATTCATATTTTAGTTCATTCCTTTGTCCAGTCGGTTATGCAGCAACGCCAAGTTAGTAAGCTGCGCGGGTGATAAATGATTTTTCAATTTGAAAATATTTAGTTAATTTGAAAACTGTTTACACAAGAGCTACAAGCTAGCAGTGGTGTATGTGCATTTAAAAGAGATACAAAAACAGCTGTTGTAATGTATTTTAATAGATGTTTATAAATATATGGAGAAGTTAAGTTTTACCGTTCTTGTTTTGGAATTACCGCCGCGGTAGAGAGCAGTTGACACGATTTATCGAGTTCTTGTTACGACGTACGAATAATAAAGTGATGGTGAATGTGTTTTGTGTTGACCTGATGTTATAAACGGCCTAATTATGGGGTTTTCGACCAATTTACAGGGCAAGATCGCGCACGAAGCGCTCTTGTCTAGACAAGAGGCCGAATTGAGACTTTTGGATTCTATGAAACGGTGTATTGTGTCCAAAGTGAAATGTGATAGGGATTATGCGGTAGCGCTGAGTTCAGTGGCCACGCAAGGGTTGAAATTTGACAGGAGCGATGAACTTTCTGGTATGTTTATTTTGTAATTTATCTTGATTTATTTATTTTAATTAAATACTAAATATTTTCTTCTACACCAAGATTTAAAAAAATCGTTTGTGTACTAGAAAACAACGCAAGAAACAACAAAACAAAAATAATTGATAAAATTCAGATAGGTCGTAAAATTTAGTTAAATTGTATAGTCCTAGAAGATACAGAGACTTTTATATCTAACTTCTAAAAAAATATTTTGGGTTGAAAATCAATATTTTAGAAACACGATTAATGCCATGCCATGTAATGAGTATTTAAAATTATAGTTGCAAGTTCAAATTATCTCTACTACTGATAACACAGAAACAAAAATTAAGAAATGTATATACGAAGAAGGTGGATAGACGATGTAGATCTTAAAACCATGAACATCAGGCAGTGGAAATTATTCGAAAGGGCAGAATGGAAGAAGGTTGTTAACCAGGCCAAGACCCACAAAGGGTTGTAGCGCCATTAGAAGAAGATATACGAAGACGAATACCATGATCGCGAAATTTGGAAGATTTATTTGACTGACATCCAACTAACTTTTTAAAGTAGGAGTACTCCTAAATAAGAGATTGACATTCTCAAACCCAGAGGCAAAACAAGTAGAAGACGACCTCGTAGAAGATGGATTGATGATGTAGAAGCCCTTACGGTTTTAAGAGTCAGAAGATGGATTGTCGAGACAATTATGATGATAATGATGATGATGAATTAAGCTTTACGTAAATAGTAACCATAAAATAAAAACCACCCCAAGAACGAATGGATGCCCCTATCATCATCACCCAGCCCCTTGCGTCCACTGCTGAACATAGGCCTTCCTCATTTTTGTCCATTGTGCTCTATCTTGAGCACTTTTCATTAAATTTCTTGATATTTTCTTGAGATCGTCACACCAACGAATGGAGGGTTTTCCTCTACTTCTTTTGTCTAACCTCGACCTCCACTCAAGCAATCTGTTCGTCCATCTTTCATCACTAATTCGGGCGACGTGTCCGGGCCAGTTCCGTTTCAGTTAACTCCTGTTCTTCGTCTTAAGTCTTCATTTCTAACTCGGTCACGAAGCCATATACTCAGCATTGACCTTTCCATTTTCCTCTGAGCTATTTACAGCGTTTTAGAAGTTGTAGCTGTCAATGTCAAAGTTTCGGCTCCGTAGGTCATCACAGGCAACACACATTGGTTAAATGTTTTACGTTTTAAAGAAATTGGTATATTGCTTTGAAAGATGTCTTTGAATTCTCCATAGGCTGCCCATGCTAGGTTTATTCTTTTTCGTAGTTCGCATGTTTGGTTGTCTCTTGTGATTTTTATTTCGTGTCCAAGGTATATGTATTTATCCACCAGCTCTACTTAGTTGTCTCCAATATTGATATTTCCGCTAGGTACTAAATTTGTCATTAATTTTGTTGTGGAAATGTTTATTTTAAGATTCAAACTGGCACACACTAACTGAAGTTCATTTAGCATTGTACATATCTTCTTTAGGTTGTCCGAGAATAAAACTATGTCATCTGCGAATTTCAATTTTGTTAATCTTTTACCGTCAATGTTCAGGCCTTTCTCTTCCCAGTTAAGTTTTTTACAAACATATTCTAGAACTACGGTAAACAGTTTAGGCGATAAGGTATCACTTTGTCCGACTCCTCTGTCGATTGGGATATTGTACGAATATGAAAAGTAATTGTCTAAAAGAAAATAAATTCAGCCTTTAGACTCATATGTAAATTTTTTTTCATAGCAAAATTTTTTCCTTCGATAGCTACAAGCGGAGGAGATTTAAAAATGGGTGTAAATTCCGTAGGTCTTTTGATAATATCCAATCGAGCTATAAATGGTAGCAAAATATAGGAAAAGAAAAATAGGTACTTACAAGATTTGGCCGGCAAACATATCACGAAACGAAACTTTTCACGATAACTTCTGCACGTGGTCACCAACGTGGTCGCATGTCTTCGTTCAACCAACTCTCTCTCGCTTCTCTTTTGAAGCCAATCCATGTTTATACCGAATGCCGAATTACATCGTTGCCACATGTAACGAGGGGAAAAGGGAACCAGGGAAAAGGACATGAACCAATTAAAGCTCGACCTGGCTCGTCTACCAATGAATGATTACCGAACAGATATGATCCGTGTTTTTATGTAGTTTAACTGACATAGTTGCTTTCTTGTATGTATTGTAAATTAACCTTGTATATCGACAGTCAATGCGGCATTCTTGTAGTGCTTCCAGGATTTTGTCAAATTCTCTGTAATGGAAATCTACAAAAGCCAGAACGAGTGGTCGATTGTATTCGGTAGTCTCTTCTATTATCGTTTTAATGCTCTGTAGGTGATCATTAGTTCCAAATTCGGTACGAAATCCTGCTTGCTCTAGCTAGTGGCTGGTAGAATCAAGTTTTTTCTCGAGGCGATTTGTTACTATTCTTGTAAGGAGATTGTATAGGTGACTAAGAAGACTTATAATTTTGTAGTTTTCTAATTCATGGGGATCTCCTTTTTTTGTGCAATAGAATAATTACTTCAGCATAGTGCCATTTGTCGGGTATATTACTGTCCAAAAGGGTATATTACATCTTAAAAAGGTTTTTTTATTTTCTTAAGTAGGCAAGTGCTTCCGATGTTGATTGGATCAGTAATTACACAATCTTCGCCTGGAGATTTGTTATTCTTAGCTTTACTTGGGGCTAATTTTATTTTAAAAAAGAGGTTAGTCTTTGTAAATGGGTATATTTATTTAAAAACCCTTAAAAGGGCTACATCAAAAAAACAAACGTTTTCGGACTAACAGTCCATCATCAGGTTTAAAATTGCCTAAAATAAGCATAAACCATTTAGTTATTAAAGCAAACGTGGTTTTTTGAAATTTTGACTAAGGTTAAAAAGCAAAAATGGTTATACTTACTAGGTTAAAATGCCTGAGCCACAGTTTTATAACAACAATTTGTACATTCTTTACACAATCTTTAATAACTACATGTAATTTAAAGGGTTTTTACCCTGGTATTTTGGTGGCTCAGGCATTTTAACCTAGTAAGTATAACCATTTTTGCTTTTTAACCATAGTCAAATTTTAAAAAGCCACGTTTGCTTTAACTAAATGGTTTATACTTATTTTAGGCAATTTTAAACCTGATGATGGACTGTTTAGTCCGAAAACGTTTGTTTTTGTTAAGTGTTTTTAAATAAATATACCCATTTACGAAGACTAACCTCCTTTTTTGTGATACGTGGTATACAGCCAGCTACAGGAATTGTTTTCCTTGTGGATTTTAATTTTATTTCGTCTATTGTGATTTCCGGTAGTATTTCTATCCTTGGTTGACAATTCCCTTTTCCTTGTTAATATTTCTGGTACTTGATCTTCTCTTCTATTTGCTCTAACTATTTTAAGGGTTTCCTCTCTGTTGGTTGTAAGATGACCATTTCTATTTTTAATCTTTATTATCTGCATTGTCCCCGTCCTTAGTCTTTTTCTCAATACTTTCTACTTTTATTGCTCTCAATGGTATGTTCGATTTGTTCTTGGTTGTATTTTCGAGTGTCTTGTCTTACAGCTTTGGATATTTCTTTATTTAATTTTTGTAGTTCTTAAGTTTCCGTCTCGCTTCTCATTTCGCTTCTTTTCTGCATTAGTTGTCTGGTACTTTGGCTAATCTTCTTCTTTTTTAGTTCTAGGACAGAATTTGTTTTGACTTTCCAGTAAGGCATTTGTTAATTTATTATTTAAGTCGTTTATATTATTTTTTGTTTCAGAACTACTAAGTACGTCAGAAATACATTGCTGAAAACTATCTTCATCTGATGGTTTCATCCATGGTTTTGGTTTTTCTCCTTTTTAATCATCTTATACCTCTCCTTCTTTAAGCTTATTACTATTTTATCTCGTACCATTCTATGATCGCTAATGGTAACAAGTATGTTTAGAACCGTCATGTCTTTAACGGTGTGTTTTTTTCCGTGATAATAAAGTCTATTTCGTTTTGAATTTTTCCATTAGGACTTTGCCATGTCCATCTTCTCTGTGTTTTTTTTAAACTGTTCATTTGGAATAGTTGATGTTGCAGTTGTTACGTTCATTTCTACCATCCAAGCCAAAGTTTCCCAGTGGTGTTTCTATAGGGTTGGATTTAATTCCTGTTTTGGCGTTAAAATCACCACATATAAAAGTAAAATATCCTTGATAGTCTTTAAGAGCAGCTTCGATATCATCATAGAATAGATCCACTTCTTCTTCATCATGGTGTGTTGTTGGTGCATAAATCTGTATGATTATTATATTATACCTTGTATTTAATTTGAGAGTAAGACAAATCACTCTTGTTGAAAATTTCTTTAGTGATACTATACTTGTTTGGAGATGCTTGTGTATAATGAAGCCGATTCCTTCCAAGGACTTATTGTGTTCACCTGCGTGGTAAAAACTATTTCCCGATTTTAGTTTAATTAAGTCTTCGCCACGTCTTCTGACTTCACTGAGACCGACTATGTCCCACTTTATGTTTTCTAGTTCGCACTCAAGTTCAGCAAGGAAATAGACTACACGTAATATTTACTTACTACAACTTTGTAAAACAAAATTAGAACAATTAAAAATAGAAATGAACTATTTATTTACTTTGCATTCGAAAAGATCTTTTAATTATTTCGAACATCTAAGAGTGTCTAGTTCAATAAGTAAACTTTTGGCAAGATTTATGAGAAAAATAAATTTTTCGAAGGCGGAACCTAAATCTGCTAACCAGACGTTGTGTTTCTAAATAAAATTGTTAAAGTAGAGTAAATTTTTGGTTTCTATTACTCGTGAAGGATAAAGTTAACACAAAAGAAAAAATAAAAGTTTGTGTACCTATATATTAAAAGTGGTAGTAGCTATTTGAAAAATAAGGTTTTTGTGGGATTATCCACAAACGGGATCAAACAAAATCGAGGAATTATATTCAATAAATAATCATCAAGAATCCCCTTCAAAGATGTATATTC